TGACAGACTAATTCACCCTCGCTGTGTGAAGGAGAGGTTCCGTAGGTCTTTCCTTCCTGCTGAGCCTGTAAATTTCATAAATTTAATTCATCTGTAATTAAGTAAATTCTTAAATCATGTGCAATGTGCAATACTGCAACTTCAGGATGTCACAGAACAATGTCACTTTACTTATATACTTTTTATCCTGCACTATATAACTGTACAGTATATAACTGCACTACTACATATATTTTTTTTTGACTGGTATTGAAGCATTTTTAGCATCTACAGCTAGTTATGTTAGTTAAGAAACATAGCTACTACTTATTTGTATATAGTGTATATATTGTCTGTGCTCCCTGTGTGCTCTTACTACTGTCCTATATGTGCGATGCAACATCAAAATTTCCCCACTGTGGGACGAATGAAGGAATTCTTATCTTATCTTTTTTCTTGCCGATGCAGAAGGGTCAGTGATGAGTCAGGACATATATAAACATTTCTGGACAGTTGTCATCCCGCTCCCTATGGACCAATGGCTCCTATGTGTTCGTTATGATTGTATTTCCTTTGAAAGTATTGGGTTCTTCTATACCAGACAATATAAGGTTTTTGTGGTGTTATTACCTTGACATGTTTCTACGGGTAACTTCCATCTTCCTCAGAAGCGTCTCGCGACGTCATACATGACGTGCCTTTTATCAGCTGCTGTTCTCAGGCGCAGTCAGCCCAGCCAACGGTCACGAGACGCTTCTGAGGAAGACTGAAGTCATCCGTCGAAACATGTCAAGGTAATAACTAGAGATGTACCGATCCAGATTTTTTGTGATCCGATTCCGATATTATTAAATATTGTTTTGCCGATACAGATCCGATGCTGATCCAATTTTTTATTTTTATTTTATCATAACATGATCAAAAATATTTTTTGGCTTTTGCTTAACAGACCTACTGAGTTAGGTCATAGGTAAGAATCACATCAGTATTGACTATTTCACCTCTAAAATAAACTTGATTATAAAAGAAATATCAAAGAGGAACATTTACCAAAAATCTGTCCTCAACATTCAGTAAGACAAAAAGAAAAGAGCAGGTACATAACAAAGACCACAAAAAGCCAGTACTTAACCAGTGTGTGAACTCTGTAAACTCCCCGATATTTAACAAATCCGATATTATCCGATCCTTACAAAATACCCATATTGGCCCCCGATACCGATACTGAATATCGGATCGGTACATCACCACAAAAAGATGACAAGTTGAATCTTCCTAAACTATGCATTTCCTTTGTTCGCCAAGACGACTGCTGTTGTGATTTAGGGCTATACAAAACTAAATTGAATTGATTAGGAATGCACAGATACAATTTTTTTGGCCGATACCGATATCCAATATGAATTTTTCTGTTATGGCTGATGACCGATATCAATACGAGTTTTTATTTTTGTTAATCTGAGATGATAAAAGTTTGTACAAACTAAATGCCTATTTTTTCACAATGTATTATATTTCCAAATACTAGGACTGGGACGATAATTTATTTTAAATCTAATTAATTAGAGGCTTTGTAATTAATTAATCTCAATTAATCACATTTTAATCGCATATTAATATTTGTCCTGAGAACAATGAGAAGCAATTTTTTTTCACATTGATTTTTAATTTACCATTGAATAATGACTGAATACATATGCTTAAGCAACACATGTTCATTGTGGAGGATCAGACGGACTCCGTTCCATCAAATAACGTTTCTGTCATCGCCTCCACACACTCTGACCACAACAAACACTTCTTAAGCCCAAAATCCACTGCACTCGAAGTGAGTACAAAAGCTTATAAAACCTTTTTGATGTGTGCATTCAAACTAAAACAGGGGTGCTCACACTTTTTCAGCATGCGAGCTACTTATAAAATGATCAAGTCAAAATGATCTACCTACTACAAAAATGAAAAACATTTATTTCTAAATATATTGAGGATTCTTTATATCTACAATGTATGTTGATGTGCATGCAAAACCTTATGATTTATGAAATAATTTGCATTTAAGCACCGCCTCTGGCGGTCATCCAGGATTCATAGTACCGTAGTTACATTCGTAACTTTCGTTCTGTAGCGGCACTTACAGTCATAGTAGAAACTCAGGGTGAAGACGTGTTATTATAGATCCATGGTGAAGACCATAGACTGTATATATTAATGGACAGAGTCACACCTATCTCTGCCGTTCTAACTAATGGGCCAAAAAATGTGCTCTACTGGAGCAATCCAAAATGGCAGCGAGTGGTCCCGCCCACAAGAAAATTGTGAAAAAACGCATCTGCGCATGCGTCAGCTGGTGCAGCTCCATTCATTTGAACGAGAGACTTCAAAAATTCACAGCAAGTAAACCCCCCTCAGTATTGACACACATGTGGAACGGAGCTTTGGGCCAAGAGGCAACTTTTGGTCCATCCTGTAAAGACGTTTTTGAGAGGTCTGCCAATGCTATATGTTAGCATTGGCTAATTCTACTTCTGGGTCCACCCCCATCGGCCCGGGGTGGTATTGCAAGCATGTCAGCGCACGTAATTTTGGCCACTTTTGAGCTGGGACCCGCCCCCACTGGTGAAGACATATGACCGAGTCCTCAGCCCTGGTTTGATCCTGGTTTAGCCCCTGTTTTGGTTGTTTTGGAGCCTGAGTCCCTGTGATCACTTTGCTGCTCTCTGATGTGGAGCGAGGATCGCAGCTGTGAACCGCTGCAGCAGTGAACGTTTTTAAGCAGTATGATCCATGCTTCAGTGATCAGGTCGCACGTTTTGTTTGTTTTTGGGAGCATCCGGTGGCGTGCAAAAAACGCAAAACTCCGGTTATCTCTGTCCAAACGCAAATGCACAAACGGATTTTTTAATGTAATGCGATCTTCCAATACTTTTCGACGTATTGAGCACCCCTGAAGTAAAACATCTAGGGTGAAACAACTAATCGATTAATCACGACTAATCGATTAAAAACGCAAAACTCCGGTAATCGATTAATCGTTTTCTGGTCACCGGACTCAAACAGAGCAAAAATGACATGAAAATGTAGTACTTTTTTTACCGACTTTGTAATTCATGAATATCTGTCTGTCTCACCAATCAGATCGACAGAATTAGCACAAAGAGCCTGTTACAAACATTTACTTTAAGTTACGCCATCAATACGTCCTCGAGTGTTGCACTTTAGCTTTTTGTGATGAAAAAATAAAAAATGTCTACACAATTCACAGCCAAGCGATTACTCAATTAATCGTAAAAATAATCGATAGATTAATCGATTATAAAATAATCGTTAGTTGCAGCTCTACATCTACTAGTTATAATGTACTTTTGAACAAGAAAATTCACGGAGCTCAGTTGGTGCGCCATTATAATCGGTCCGTCTGAAACATAGCCTCCAGTGAGGAACGTTCCGAGGTGGAAAAAACACATGCGATTAAAATGCGTCATATTTCTTAACGCACTAATTTTTGTAGCGTTAATTAATCGTAATTAACGCGTTAAAGTCCCGGCCCTACCAAATACCAAGGTTACAGGCTAGCATAAAACACATGTAACCAACTTTTACCATGCCAGTATTCATGGCAACATGATCATTTTGTCCTATTAGTTTGTATTAGCCTGATCTTACCACACCATTGTACAAATTTCAGGGAATGTAGGGAGAGTTTAGGGCTGGCTTAGGCCAGGCCGAGTTAGAATGGGCGATGCGGGAAACGCACATACGAGCATTTCGGTGATTTGTAAAGCTGTAAATAATACAAAGTTTGGACTCCAAACTGCCATCAACTACTCCCTTGGATGGCAGCATAGGGAGTTACACGCTTGTTTCCCCATACAGTTTCTCTAAGATATTTCACAGTCTAAAACATGATGTGACAAAGTAATTAGACTCATAATTTTTAAACAATTAATGTAGATATTCTTTATCGATTCTTTGTTTCTGCTGCTACTGGAATGCAGGTGTCCAGTAGCAGCAGAAACACATGCATTCATACAAAACCAACAAATAGAATATTCTAAAAGTAGTTAACAATAGTATTAAAATGCAACAGCACTTTACATCACAGCAGCAGATGTGGTGCAGCCGCTAGGGTCGGACCATTTTCTGCTCTTGTCCAAAGTGAGATGTGAGATCCTGTTTCTAAATACTAATTCAATCATTCTATTTTATGATTACTTGTGTCCGTGAAGCTAAAATAAAGGTGGGTGTTTTGAAAATAAACCCGAGGCTGTAGAGAGGAGGTGGTTCTGGCAGTTTCCCAGAATGCACCAGTCCACATACCACCAGGCCTTTGATGCCACAGCTGCTGAACGGGATCACTCGATAAACATTTGATGATCAGGTCTTATTTAAAGAGCGAAGGTCAAACCGAGCTAGTCTCGTTATTTCAACGTGGAGCAGTGTTGGACTAATGAGGATCACCTCAGGCAGAGACTTAAAACTGTTTTAGTTATGGCGACAGAACAAACACTACGCAGCATATACTATACTCATATGTCCATTATCTGGACAATGTCCAGTTTTTAAATGTTAAAGAACTATTTCGCTTTATTTTGAGTTGTTAAATATAATAGAATAAGGGGTAGAAAATGGATGGATGGATGGAAATATAATATTGATACTATAAACTTTGTAATTTCATGTTTTGGAATGTGAAATAATATCTTACAGGCAAAATATACAGTGAAACAAGTACAAAGGATGAATAAATGCTTTGTTTGTAACTCCCTATGTTGCCACCAGAGGGAGGAGTTAAATTTGTTCTGTCATGTTCAAAATTTGAAAATTACCACATGCAAACACATTAGACCTGAGAAATTACCAAAACTAATTTATGTGCAATACTTTTGTTTAAAAAAAAGGTAGAAACCCGTTTTCCCCCCATCCCCCCCTCCTCTACTCACCTCTCCCCCCCCCCCCCCCCCCCCCCTCTCCCCCTGCTGTACTCTGCGGCAGGACGCCTGTAGTGACTCATTAACATCTTATCAGTTCAGAGTGAGAATGAAAAGCACATGTTTGAGAGCGGCGGCGCTGAGGGAGCGGTGACAGATGGAGGCGAACGAGGAGGAGGCGAAGACGGATGACGGTTTGGAGGCTGCGGCGCAAGACCCCAGCGATAAGGAGGAAATTAAGGAGAAATCTGAGCCGAGCTTTGGCCAGATAGTAAAATGTGTAAAGAACGCAGCGATTACTCAATGTGTAAAAGTCTTGTATTACGAGTTTCAAACTATTTTGCCTCTAAAGAAAGGGATGCATTAGTGAAGCTTGTATCAAACTACAATATAATAACTATTGCTGCTGTCATCCCCTTTAAATTAGCCATCTCTAATTAACAGCTAATTAAGAGCTAATGAGTGAACCTCAATTCTATTCCTAACTAAGCCACAGAGTAGTAGTTAGCTAGATGTTGAATAAGACCATGTAGAAAAAGAAATACATTTTCTTGCCCTAGGAAAATAAAAGAAGCAAGTATTAAATCTCTAGATAGATTTAAAGTGTACAAAAATGGCTTGAAGTTTGATAGAGTGAATAAAAGGGGCCAGAGGGATGATTTGTTAGAAAGAGACGGAGGACTCCATGGGTTTGTTCTGCAACACAGTTTTCTCATGTGGACCTCTGGTATCCGCCATCTCGTCCTCCCTCAGGACCAGATGTGAGGGCAGGGACGTAGACTGAGCTGTAAAGTGTGAGCTCCCTCTTCACAACAGTTGGTATATCGTCATAACATACGTCAAAACAATATATGTGATCTAAAGCTTCACACAAACATACCAGCGAGAAACTACTTTCTGTTTCTCCTACACACTTTACCTGTAAACTTCAACTTCTGTGAGGATGGATGCAGGTGCTGACAGGTCGACACAGCTCAGTGGAGGTGTAGAGTGTACACAGGTTAGCCATTAGGAAATAGAAGCAATAACTAGATACAGTTTGACCTTTGAGCCAGACTTATTGCTACTCATCAAAGAGCTTCTCCAAGGCTTGGTTTTAGTTTATTGTCTGCGTTTTTCACTATTTTCATGTTCCCATATGTCTATTATATCTACAATATTATAGATACAATACATTGATGAAATATAGCTTATTTCATCAAGCTAGCAGGTGGCACCAGCGCTGCCTCTGGATGTTTTGAAAACAGGATGCAATTGTCGCACCTCTTTTTCTCAGCTTTTTGTCTGAGAATGGTGATTTCAGTGAAACTTCCCTCTACTCGACTGGGGATAACAATAATGTAACCTGTCCCAGCGTGAATCGATCACTAGTTTTCACATGCGTTGTTTGGCCTCTGTCACATCTCCACTCCACAAAGAGGACCACGCTCACTGCATTGGTGGGTTTTAGTAACAGGACTAATAAAAGTTCTGTAATAAAAGTGTATACTTCTCACCTGCTTTTGGAGAGGATCCAGCGATGCTCAGGGCACACTCCATGGACGCTGTGTCCCAGGGGAACACGGTGGTGGTGTCTGAGCGCAGAGCGATGGAGAAGGACGGACCTGGAAAACACAGTTTGTTTTCCATGACTTTAAAACATGACATTAAAGAAACAAAATCATTTTCTACTCAATAACTATTTTCCGTGACTTTGAAAATCGTGTTTTTCCCAGAAGTGACAGGTGTGCGAGATCAAACCACCAGAACCATTTTAAGAACTTATTAAAGCTGGGGTAGATACATTGTGTTTTTTTGGACAGTATTCAATTCTGCTCAAAATCAGTTGGCCCATGCAAAAAAAGCTTGAGCAGCCCCCCACCCTCGCAACTCGTGTTTGAGGCAGAGTAAAGAGGCAAGTATATGATCTCTAACTTCAGTTTTAAATGTCCTAAATTATGCTTTTAAAACTTTTCTCTGCCCAAAGTAGTTCTTTCATGGATTCCCTCAAGCTTTTATCAGAGAGCTATCTTTCTCTTTCATTCTCCAGAGGCACAGACAAAAGTCATTTCAAATAATGACGTGGAAAGAAATACAGTTACCTTGAAACCAGACTTACTCAAAAGCTGATCTTCAAACCGGATTGAAGTCCCACAATAAAAGACACCACATTTACCTCGAACTTAGTGTAAGGCTACGTTAGCGTGCAGGTGGAAGGAGGCGGGTGAGAGTGGGGAGAGGCGGGTGAGAGGCGGGTAAGAGTGGGGAGAGGCGGGTGAGAGGCGGGTAAGAGTGGGCTTACAGGCGGGTGGAAGTGGGCTTACAGGCAGAGAAGCCAAGTGTTTCTCATGAGATGACATCCCATGAGATGTATGGTGTAACACCCAAATTGTTATCACACATGTGCATAGGATGGATTTTGAAAAATGAAGTTAAATAAAGGCCCTTTAATAAAGAAAGTATAAAATCTCATTAAGAAGCAAGTATAAAAGCTCCAACTAAAATGGTCTAATATTTGGGTAGAACGATCATAAAGTGATACTATTGTGACCACAGAAACCTTTGTGTTGTGTGCGAGTGGCTTTGCTTGTGTTACATGTAACTGCTGCTATAGAAAAGTGTTCATTCATCATTTATCAGCAGCGCGAGCCGTCAGTCTTTAGCACATGGGACGCTTCACAGCCCGAAGCGGGAACAAGACCAGTTTTGCATAATATAGTTTTGCCTTTCAAAAAACGCGGACTTCGTTTTTCAAAAGACGGAAGCAAAATAGCTGCTGTACATACTTCCAAACGGGCCAGAAATCAATTAGTGACATAAGAGCTGTTCCAAATTCACTGACAGTAGCGAAAGATCCAGATTTGTATTTTTAAAGTTATAATAAGAAAGTAAGGGTCACAGATTAGCCCTCTCCAATAACTATTTCAGTGCTCATGTGTACCCAAACCCTCTCCGGGAAAGTGTCAATGAGTTGAGCATTAGTAGATGTTGAATAAGGACTAACAAGTGCTCAATAAACACCAACTAAGCCAATTTTAAGACAATAAAAAGTACTTAATTAGCGGTTAATAAGTGACGGCTAAACTAAAGTGTATTCAAAGTAAGTAATCTTTAATTATTCAGCATATTTCAAAGACCATTTTATTGTACCACAGATAACAGAAGCGAGACACAGCACACGCATTCACTCTTTTACCACATTGACCCATTGTACATGTTTTTAGTTTTAGAGGATACCGGAGCACCTGGAGTATACCTACCTTAACAAGCAAACATAACAAAAGAAAGGCCTGGAGGTAGAGTGGAACCTAGAACCTTCTTGCTGTGAAGTAAATCAGCTAACCACCGCACCACCGCCAAGCATTAGGTCAAATGGAGTCTCTGAGGAAGTTTTACACTGATTCAACTCAACGCAAAGTCCTCCCACTCTTTAGGGACATCTTGGTTAAGAACTTTAAAATCCTGTCTGTGTGTAGACGAGATATGTGATGAAAAATCCACAGCAGTCAACATGTTTCCAGTTAAATAAACGTTTATTACAATAGAAATGCTTAGAACTGGATAAAGTGCTAAACCATTATGGCCCAAGAGATTTGACTGAGTATAAAAAAAAACATTCACCATTTAACTTGATACGAAGTTCACTACTGGTAGGTTTTTAAATTATTTCACCTGAAGATAGGACAAAGATATGGAATTTCCCACTTAAAAAACGCTACTATACTTAACCCTTTCGGTGCCAGCAAACCTTTTGGGGAAATGTATTCTAAAACGCAAATGTTGATTGATGAATTTGATAGGGACGCGTGTACATACTTTCACATGTTGACTGTGTACACTTGATCCCATAAAAAATAAAAATAAAAATAATTACAATAATAATAAAAACATTAAGAGTTGTAAAAATTAAATCTTAATATATTATTGATGTCACTTTTTATTGGGGGAAGCCGCAAAGAAGAAATGCATTAAAATTATAATAAAAATAAAAATACTTATAATGGCCTGTACGTGCTGTAATTCTAAAGGGTTTTCTCAGCTTCTTGCCAGGATCTTCAATGTTGTTTTCCCAGTAGTTTAACACTGCCATGCGTCCATTAAAGGAAAGATTGGTGAATTATTTAAAACGTACCAGGGAGATTCGCAATTTCCATATGTTCTTCCTAGTTTTTTCTCTTTCAAATCCCACGTCAGCTGCAGCGTGGGAGTGTACGGACACACGGGGGGGCGAGACACAGCCTTCAGGCAAAAAACTAGGGGGAAAAATGGCCCTTTTAGATCTACGGCTTGTGTGGGGTCAAAATGTTAAGCTTTTTGCACAAGCGAAAGACAACAGAAAGAAATGATTCAAGAAGCAAGTGTTGGAGAAGCTGCGAGAGCGCATGATTGGCCGAAGGGTTTTGCTTTGATGGCGTTCCCAAAAGTGGAATGGAGGACAAGGCGAGAAAGCGGGCGAAGGAAGAGAAAAAAGAAGGCTGCTCAAAGGCCGATGCTTCCCCAGAGACAGGCACTCATCTCTGGGTCGAAAACCAAGAGCGCTCGCCCTCCAAGCTTCTCCCAGAGCTGGCCGAGGCAGAAGCAGAAAGGATATTATAAGAACCAGAGGATGTGTTTGCAGTGGGAGGAAATCAGAAGTATGAGGAAACAGGAGAGCGTTTGGTAGTAACAGTAGCAGTAGTGAAGGGTTAAACATGTGTCGATTTGTTTGAATGGACTTCCACACGGCCCTCATGTCGTACAAAGTTGATTTTGAGCAGTTGGGCACCAAAGATTTTCAGAGGCTTGATGAACTATATAAGAGATGAGACCCTCAGTCCTACTCAGCTCAGCTCGATTACCTATCAAGTATGTATTATAAAGCTTTTAAATTCAGATTACCATTTAATATTTTGGAAAATTACATTATATGATTATGATTCACTTTTGAATGCACTGGAAACAGCAGCGAGTCCTAAGTAACTTTGAAAATGTTTACTGCTACTGGACATCTGAATTTGTCCTAAGGCCGGTCAATAAAGTATCTACCTATCCATCTACCTGGTAGCGTTTTCCAATAAGCTTAGCTAAGAATCTCGTATTGTATCCTAGCAACTTATCCACGACAAACCAGTATTCAGGGAAAATTCCTTGCCATGGCCTCCAGTGGCATTCTGGTCAATGACTGATCACTTTAGTACCAGCTCGTTAAAACAATGTCTGGTACATTGAACAACATTCAATCCCAGCCTCTGACGGGGGCGCCTCTATACGGACTTAACTTTTTTCCCATCAATAATACATGTATTTGATTATTTATTTATTCATGTACGTAAAGTAAAAGTAAGTAAAATATAGAGAACAAATCAGACCACAACATGCTTTTTCCACAACAAACGTTTTTGGTTTCATAAAAAATCCAACAGAAAGAGTCATTTAAAATTCTGTGAACGAATCAGACCACTACATTCTGTCTTCATCTTCTTTGATAAAACATTATCTGAGAGCTGATAGGCTGAGTGAGGGAGGTCCTCTTTTATACTTTTCTGTCTCAAAGCTGATCTAAAGATGAGACAGAAGCCAGAAATCCATCAAAACTAGTGATAGACGGCGTTTTGAGCGAGGGACTGGAGAAGTGGATTTTATTGCATAGTTCCATTGTTGTGGTTTGAAAGTTACGTACCCAAGCTTTAAATACCCAAAAAAATTGCCTTTAACAAAATCCCTCATGAAAATACCAGCTGTCAAAGCACCTCTTTTCTGCCTCTATACTGGCAAGCATTTCACACAACTAAAAACTATTTCATTGCAGACAAAATATCTAGTTCAGTCATTATGGTGCGTGTTGTATTCCTGCTTATTCCATATTCCCTCTGTCCACTTCCCTCCAGTCTTTTTCATTCATTCTTTATTTTTTCCCACAATCCCACTCTCCCCGCTCAGATCAAACCGCTTTAAACTAGGCCAGTGGCTGCGGTAGAGGCGTCAAAGGGCTTAGCGTACCCCCGGTTTTTACCCTATTTATGTTGCTCATTACGAGGGCAATTGTGAGTTAGACCAAAGTGAGAGTAGGCGGAGCTTGTGCGCAAAAACCCGAGAGTGGGCGGAGCTTGTGCATAAAGCAAGTGTGGGCTGAGCTCGGGAGATGTACGAGACTAATGCGAGATTTACAGGTTAATTAGCGGGGATTTTCAAAGACACGTAGTCGAGATTGTGGTTGAAATTGATTTGTGTAACAGAGAAATATTAATGTCATAGACACAGCACAAGTCCCATAATATGCTTTATATCTTTTAGTGTCAAGTCTGGTGTTGCCTCCGCTTGTATATAATGTAGAGAAAATAAGCTTTAAAATGATTTACAGCTCGTGTGAAGACCAAAATAACTGCTCTGACGCGTTGAACTCAAAACGGCGGCGGGTGTTAAAGTGACTGTCTGGAGTTTGTCAGAAAAAAAGAAAGAGGTACAGGATTTGAAAAAAACGACCCAAGCTCCCTCCCCCTTCCTTTCTGATTGGTCTACGCCTACGTTTCCGTAACACTTTGAAATGTTAATCTGAGAACACACTATACATATACATTATTAATACACATGCACGAAGGTTTTCTGAATTATTTGTACACGTTTTCATGAAAAAAATTATGTTTTAATGCACGAAAAAAAGCGATAGCGGTAAACACGTATTATCACGTCATTATCATTAATCGAACATTATAGGACACATCTGCAGACGATCTGATTATGGGTATAGGTTCAGAATATAAATGGATAACTCAGAGCAGATGTTCAGAATTCTTTGTTCAGTTTTCATGCTCCGCGAAAACAAACAACTGAGCATGAGCAGCTACAAGCATGAGCGTCGATGATTGACAGCCCTTGGCATCACTTGATTGGTTAACGTGTACGGCATTGTGGATTTCTAGCTATAGCTAAGAGAAGGGAAGGCGGGACTTACCCGTAATATTAGAATACATAAAATGACATATTTCATATCAATATTTAAGCTCAGGAGGTCAATTTTTTTTTTTTTCATTTAGAGTTCCAGACTATCACTAAGTGGTTGGAACTGGTGTTCTGGATTTTATTACATGGTTCAATTGTTGTAAGGGAAACGTTTTTTTACCGCAGCTTTAAAATAAGACCAGAATCTTAATGAAATACGTTTTGTCCAAATGTACCAAAAAGCGCTGGTAAGTAACGTTTTAGCCGATACATGGATTAGCATATTACTCGTCTGGCTCACCGTTCTCCTGGTAGTCGATCTTGATCTTGTTGGACTCAGCACTGGTGGCTTTGGTCCAGGTCTGGCCTGGCTGCTGTTTGGTCCACGCGGTGATGTCGCACCAGTAAAGTCCACGATCGGAGAGCTGCACGCCGCCAAGACGGAACCGGAAATCTGCTGCACTGGACTTCAGCAGAACCAGCTGATCTCTGCACCCAGGGAACGCAAAACCATCAGAGATCACCAAAGCTTTATAATTGATTTAAGTGATATTTCTGACCAATGTGATTGTGATTTTTATCCTGTAGGTTTAAAAGGTCTTTGTTTGGGGAAAAATAACTTTACCTCAGGCACAATTGCAGGTTTAACCTAAAGTGCCAAGATGGTAAATATATATCAAAATACAAATATATTTGTGTGGTATGTGTAATTCTCGTTTCTCACTACATTTTTTTTAACGTCAGACCAGACTGAAAGAACCACATTGTGCAACACATTTTGACAGTTTATATATTTATGATGAAAAATATGAGAAAATTATACTTCTGCTGACTGAGACGAAAAATACCATTGAAAAAACAGAGCGAGACTAGCGAGAGAGAGGGAGAGACCAAAGAGTAAGTGAGTGAGTGAGTGTGTGTGTTAGTGAGAGTGGGGGAGTGACAGTGAGAGCGACCAGAGAGAGCGACCAGAGAAAGAGACCAGAGAAAGAGACCAGAGACAGAGACAGAGACCAGAGAGACCAGAGACAGAGACCAGAGACAGAGACCAGAGAGAGACCAGTACCTGCGTTTGGGGTCAGTGGCGCCGCCGTGTTGCACCACGCTGTCTGGGCTCAGAGTCATGAGGGTTTTGACGCTGGCGCCGACGCTGTCCTGTGATTGGATGAGAACTGAAAACCCCGCCTCCCCGAGATTCTCTGTCGACATGGTGCAGCTCATCTCAAATGTCGACCCGCCCACCGACGCCTCACGCAGAGATTTGGCCACAACGCTCAGAGTCGGACCTGGAGAAACAGAATGATTTAAACCCATGGATCTATTATAATAACTGGATAGGGTAAAACTAGCTTGGAGCTAAAGAACCCATGTGCTCAGGGGATACTCGCGGGACTGCAGACTAAACCAGACTAAATTCACGAGGGCTACCCAGACATTTTCCCCATAGAACTCAATGTAAACTAAAACAGCTCGACCTCAGCTGACAGAGAACCTACAGCTTTCATAAAGGTCGGATTTTGTGGGGATTTTATTGTCCCTTGTCATCCTGAACTTTTTTTCTTCTTAAATCCTTGAGCACAAACCATTCATGTGAGTACGGCGCCATCTTGGATCGCCGGGGCTCTCCAGTCTCTCCAGTCGTCTACAAGTCTTAACAACTTTCAATCCTTATAATATAGTTTCATACTGCGATTTTTAACATACAATTTTGGACAAAAGTAATAATTGTGTGGCGTTTGGGAAAACCCCTCAACGCGTCCAGGAGGAAGTGGTTGCCCGTCACTTTCTACTCTCTGCTCTGGTCGGCCATCTTGAACTCCCTGACCCCACTTATCCATGTGGACTGTGCGCGCCACTGTTGTTAGAGTCGGACAAAAAACTGATTGTGTGGCTCAAAAATGAAATAAATTGTGCAACAGTGAAAAACACTTTTAGACTGGTAGTGGCAACCTAACAGAAGACATAAGGCCCTTCTCTTTGTGCATATTTGAGATTAAGTGTAAATAAGACATAAAAAAGCCTGAACTGAGCAAAACAAAGGCTGGTGTGTTAGAGTGACTTAACATTTCATTTTTTGCTCGCACAGAACTGGAAAAAAAGGTTATTTCATTGCATGCTTTATGTAATTGTGTCTTTAAAAAAAAGAAAATGAAAAAATCTTAATCTCAATGGGACTTTTGTGGTTAAATGAAAAAAATTAAATATTGTGGTAGGAATCCGACAACAGTCCAACCACACAGCGACCTTTCTCACAAGTAAAAAAACACAGAGCTCTAATTGATTTAAGAAATCCTTATTTTGGTTGTTTTGTCCCCTTTAAAAAATTTACTGCTGTGGGAGCACTAGTAGTAGGATTCAGTAGTAGCAGTGGCAGTTATAGTAGTAGTAGTAATAATAGCAGTAGTAGTACATACGTTTTTGTTCCCATTTGACCGGGAGGGCAGGGCTTTGCTGCTCGCTGGCTTTCACGTATCCTCCCTGAGAGTTCACGGTCCAGGCTGAGACCAGGCACGAGTACTGCCCCATGTCCACCTCCTGTCGGGACACAGTAGAATAAAAATGATTCAAATGGTGAACTCTCTAACAAATGCAGCCTTAAGAGAACTACGGAAGACTTCACAGAATAGTTTCTCATTCAAAACAATCCATATACGGTCAAAACTTTGCATAGAAATTAAATCAAGTAGTTTGTATTAGAGATTATATCTAGAAGTGTGGGACTGATGCCTAGACGTACCTGTGTGCGGAGGAATCTAAGTTTAAACATGTTGGTCTGGACTCTGGTCAGAGTTATGGCTCCAGTCTTCAGTCGGTCTGAATATGTGGATCCAGGTACAAGGTTCCCGCTAGCGTCCAATGTGCCGATGAGATTTGAAGATTGAGGATTACTTCCTGCTCCTGGAAAGACATGGTAGAACTGTGTCTAGTAGCAGTAGAATAGCCTGGTCTTACCACATTGTACAAATTTAATTTCGTACTAGGGTCTGGTTTGCTTCATTGAGCTCCGTTAACAGGTGGGAAGGGTTAACTCCGTTTGCGTATTGAAACGTTTGGATCCGAGTTTACCGTGATATACAGTATGTAATGCACCTGAGTGAGTGAGGCATTGAGCCATCTCTTTTACCACTTATGGAGCCCGTGGGGAGTAGACAACATCTTTGCAGCAATGACATTTGCTAAACATTTCTCTTAAGCCTGTTTGAATTTCTTGTTTTTTGGAGCCGAACCAGAAGGGATTACTTTACCATCCTATTCGCCGCCATTGCCAAACTACAAAAAACGAATACGTTGCAAACTCTTGACGTCACAGACGACTTCCTACAGCACTCGCTTCCCACGCTCGCTGATTGGTCGAATAGGATACAACCGAGGTAACTGTAGCCACTCGGATCAGACCCCGGAAGTATATGTAGGGAAATAATAATTGACCGGAGTTTACGGCTGGCTTAAGCAAGGCTAGCAGGTGCAGCTTATTTTACAGGTTTTAATTTTGGTTCATTTAAAGAGATTAGCAATGAAAATTTCAAAATAACATTGTAGGTAGCTGGTAGGTAGGGGTATTAGTAAAATCGCATGCTACAATAGGAGCAGTGGTTCAGTAGTACCAGCAGTAGTATAAGTAATAGCAGGAGTAGTAGTAGCAGTAGTTGTAGGAAGAGTAATTGCAGTAGTAGCAGTAAGAGTAGCGCCACTAGTTGCAGCGGTAGTAGTAACAGTTGTAGTAGCAGTAGTAGTATAGTAACAGCAGTAGCAGTATCGGAACACATTACCAGGGAGCGGGCCGTGTTGCCAGGTCACGCCCAGTCTCCCTCCCGCAGGCAGGTTTGTGATGTTGGTCACGTGACACGACAGCTCCAGTGCCTCAGAGGTCAACTGTGGAGTCGCCACAGGGTCCAGTACCAACGAGAACCCGGGCTCTGCAAACATTTAAAACAACACAACGTCAAAAACAAGTATTAAAGAATTTAAGAAACCTCCAGTTATAACCCATTCGAATATCGGGTCCATTCGAGATTTGTGTAGAACAGATATAGTTCTCGTACATCCCAGAAAACATACCATTTATCAAAACTATAGAAATCAGTTATTAGCAGATTTCCAGTTGGTATTTCCAATGTCCCCTTTTGAGATTGAAATCTGTCTTTAAGCAGAGAAGAAAGCAGTCATTTTCCTCTAAAATGTATTATTCTTGAATGTGTTTAGCAGGTCATAATTTTGTTTTCCGAATTTTGATTTCACCACAAAAAATGTGAATCATTGCAAAGTTAGTCAGAAATTAGCAATTCAATATTCGTCCACATTTATTCAGCCCCGGTTTGCAATTTGCATCTGAAAACAAGTGCGAGAAGAGAAGCGGCCAATGGTAAAAACCTCAACTTTACATTTTAAATTGTTAAGAAAAGTCTTCAAATATTTGGAAAAGTAAAACGTTTTGTGAACAAATCAAACCACCGTTCCTGTCCCCTCTAATTGAAGGGGACTGGGGCTGGGACTCTGAGGAGCACAGGGACTGGCCTCCTGTTGGTCCCGAAGTCAGGAAACTCTAAACGCGGGGAGGCAGCTTTCGGAATTATGCATCTATAATCTGGAGCAGTCTTCCTGAAAATGTGAGACAGGCTTCTCCTCTGACAATGTTCAAATGTTCTGTTAATCTGTGCTACAACTGACGGATTTTAATCTTAATTCATTTTTAACGATATTTGATTAAGTAGGATTTAATGGGGCGACAGTAGCTCAGTTGGTAGAGCATTGGCCTTAAGGCCAGAAGGTCGTGGGTTCATTTCCCACCTCTGCACCTTCTCCAACGACTCCCACTGATGACTGCTGTCGTTGTGTCCTTGGGCAAGACACTTAACCCCACTTTGCCCAAAGCCCCCACTGAAAGATCAAGGCTATGCTCACACTCAGAGAGCAGCCGTCCTCCTGTGGACTCACCACCTGCAGAGGGCAGTGAGGGGCTGGTGCTATGAGACTTGGGTGGCATCTCTGACTGCCACCCCCCTGACCCAGAAATGGATTAAAGGGTAGAAAATGGATGGATGATGGATGGAGGATTTAATGCATCGTTTTTTTTGTTTCTAACTTGTTTTGCACTTTGAGTATGAACTGCACTACACAAATAAACTTGCCTTGCTTCAGAAAATGTTATCCTCTGTGTAAGCGAGCCCTGTGAGTCACTATTGATGCTTTGAGCTGAGAGCTGATTGGCTGAGTGAGGGTGCTTCTCTTTTTCACCTTTCTGTCTGAAAAGCTGATCTAACGTGTGACTGAGGCCAGAAACTTGAGAACGAGGAACTAGTTACTGTACTTTTGACAAGATCAAGATAAAACATTATAGGGTTGGGCTGGATTTATTCATTTACATCTGGCTTAAAACCTCGCTACACCAGATATCTCACACCTTAAAACAAAAAGGTGCTAATAAATATTTCAACACCTTTTTTTATCCAGAGTGAAGGCAGCACGGATTTGGTTTTAAGTTTAAAAATAGCCTCGAGGGACAGCCACCCTAAAATAGTGTGTGGCCTCTCACTCAAAGTATTAAATATCCTACAAAACAGCCGGTAAGCGAACGCAACGGTAAACAGGAAGCGCTCTACAATCCGCCAGGTCGAACACACCACGACAGCTCCTCACAATCACCAGCGCTCAGAAGGATCCGCAGGTGTAAAATATAGGCTTTGGCAAAGTGGTGTGTCTAAGTGACGTCAGGAAAGAAGAGGCTCTGAGTCACACTTTGTCACCATCTGTCCCTGAATGCATCGTGCCAATGAGCAAACCAATGCTACACAAAGCGGGATATTTGCACTGGCAACTAAGCAAAGACAGCAAATAGAACGGGGATTGGGGAACGGATAAATTTAGATGTGTATGTGTCTGTTTGGCCATGTAAGGATTTGGGCGTGGGATTGGGAATGAGATTACGCATTTGTATGTAGTGGTATTCTGCGTTATTCCCATTATTCACAGTTTAGCATGTATTCAAATTATGCCAGCAAAACGTGTCATTACAACTTGCAGAAACGGTAGCGGTACAAGTTGTAGACATGGGAGCAGTGGTAGTACTCGTGTAGTAGTAAATATGCAAGTGATGACAGGGGTGGTGGCAGCAGCAGTAGTAGTATTATTAGTAATAGCAGTAGCAGTTTTAGTAGTAGCATCAGCAATAATAGTAGCAGCAGCAGTAGTAGAATGAGCAGTGCTAGTAGTAGAAGCAGTAAAACCGGTAATAGCAGTAGCAGTCTGAAGTACCAGTAGTAGTAGTAGCAGTAGCATCAGTAGCAGTCGGAGAAGTAGTAGCAGCTCAGTACAGAAGTAGTAATTTGTTGTAGTAATGGCAGTGGCAGTAGCAGCCTTAGTAATAACAGTGGTAGTAACAGAAATGGAGACGAGAATGAACACAGTTTGACTACATACAACTATAATTTGAGAAAACATTTTTACATGATACTTTGAAAACTATTCTCATTACTATTATTGTTACTTTCAATATAAGACAGTGATAGTTTTAGCAGTTGTATTATGTGAGAAATGGAAAGAAAAACGTGCTTGTATCAATAGCGTATTGACGTGTCCAATCCCAAAGCTTGTTCTCACAGGCCTCAGCTCGTACTATTGAATTTTAAATACCGGGGTTTTAAGTACAAGCAGATTTTGAGTCTGCAGAATTAGGGCAAACTCCACACACAGGTCTTTCACTTGTCATGTTCTGAAGTCGCTCCTCTGCTGACAGCCAAGTCAAAAAACCATGTGTGAATCACCATGTTCACCAAAAAGCTTTAGGCGCTGCAAGATATTACGCATATTAGCAAAGGCTGTGATGAAATGATTAAGAGTTTCAAAGCAGTTTCACCTAAAAATGTCACTTGGAATTTGGGACGTGTTATGTAAGGGTGTAGACGCGTATATTCCTGCCTGAGATAGAAAAACATTGATAAATTAGCAAAGGTTGGTTAGACAAGGAACGTTTGATCAAATAATCCAGAATGTGACTAGATTTTCATTTGTTGCAGTGGAGGGAAACCATCGTCTGCTTGTCATTAGTCCAAACAGGTCAGTTTCAATTCAAGTCTCACTCCCTGGTTCACTCCCAATTCTGGTTCAGTGGCCCATGGTTTTGTGCTGGGTTTAAGGCCTCATGGCCTGGTCAAATAAAGGTTAAATAAAAAACAAAAAGTGTGTCCTGGCTGAAATAAAACAAAAGAAATACGAAAATCAGCAATCACGATCAGAAGTATGGATTGGTTTCACAATGAGGATTACATAACAGCTTTGGAATGAGTTTCAATTGATTTTTAAAATGAACAGGCATGAAGCTATATTCCGTGAATTTGTGGGTTTGTGAGTTGAACAAACCCACAATACAAAAGCCTCTCTAGGGCCTCAGCCTCAGTCTCTCTGGCCCCCAGTCTCTCTGGGCCCCAGTCTCTCTGGGCCCCAGTCTCTCTGGGCCCCAGTCTCTCTGGGCCCCAGTCTCTCTGGGCCCCAGTCTCTCTGGGCCCCAGTCTCTCTGGCCCCAGTCTCTCTGGCCCCAGTCTCTCTGGCCCCAGTCTCTGCTCCAGCTTTAGTCCAGCATGTAGTATTATGTGACAGTAACTCGGCAGGGAGGGGAATTGAACCTCAACCCTGCTGCGTCAGCTGCATCTTCTTCCAAAACACCGTCCACTTTCGGGACAGCATTTCTCTGCATTTATGTCAACTACAGCCCCAGAGGAGCAGCAAAAATACGCATCTCAAAAGATGGGTATGAGGTCAAAAGAGCTGTATGAACAAGGTCTTATTTTATTCCAAATGTAAACAATTGCTAATAGTTAATGGCATTAGAAAAGCTCAGGAGATCATACATTATTGATGTAGTCTGCCATTTGGGATTACACAGCAGGAATGTCCAAAATGACGGCCCGCGGGCCAATTGCAGCCCTCTTTGTGTAGCAGAAAAAGAGCCAAATAAAATGGCAAAGTCGCCATTGAGGCACTTTGACAGTGTCATCAAACCAACTTCAGCTCCACCAAGACAGCCATGGTATACCTTGTTGTAAATCTCTGACCCTCCGGAATCCAGTTGTTGACTTTATTGTCACAACATACATTCCACAACAATGCAGCAGTGTTGTGAATCAATAAGAGTGTATCATAACCCCTTTTAAATTCCAGAATCCAGTCAAACCAGCTCGAATCCAGTTTTTTTAAATTTAGGTTGTCTGCCCCAGGTCAAGTCTGATGAACTAAAGTGGCCCTCTTGCTAAAACATTTGGACACCCCTGGATTACAGGAACCATGGATTACATAAATTCTTTAGATCCCACTTTTGTCCTTCTCCTCTATTGCTCTTCACGTGTTCCACATTCTTTGTCTAGTCTCTTTTTGTGTGCATTCTGTCCGCTTTATTTTCCTGTATCATTTGTTTTTAACGACTTGAACTGTTTATTGCCGACTCTGCAGCACTTTAAAAAAAAATTGTATCTGAAAAGTGCTGTACAAAAAGTGTTATTATTCAAATGTATGGTTGTATTTAAATATGTGTCATTTGGTGATCCTCTGTCTCAAGCACATTCTCATCTTTACATCCCTCATACTGTACCTCAATGGAAAAATTAAATATGTTTCTGCCAGGTATCATGTTAAAACGTGTCACAAAGAGCACAGAAAGGGAAATAATAGGCATTCATTGAACTGCTTTTTTGTTAAAATATCAGATAGAAAAACAGATTTTCTTGGAAAGCAGAGTCACCAAGTCTGCAAAGCAATTCGGCGTGATTTGTGGCTTTCTGACGTTCCATAAATAATTGCAAAGCCAACAGAAAAACAAGTTCCTTACAGAGCTAGTTTTCTGTTCTATCAGATCCAATGTATATGTTGAACACCCTGGAGCTCTGTATACAACCTCCCCTCCCCCTGCTGTGAACGGCTTTGTGCT